TTTTTTTTTTTCTTTAAACTAGAGGATCTCTTTGTCCAAATGGAATTCTTGTAATGAAACTTCATCATATAAAATCAATGACAGTGACTACACTTTCTCTAAATTTGCTCTATTTTCATCTCACTAACTTACCCTAAGGCATTTGACTGCTAACCAGAAGGATGGCTGTTCAAACTCATCAGCCACTCCTCGGAAGGAAGGTTGGGCAATCTGCTTCCATAGTGATATAGCCTCGTAGACCCAAGGAGGGGTCGCTATGAGTTAGATCTGACTCCATGGCGATGGGTTGCTTACTGGAAGTACAAATAGCTCTCATGATAATTTCTTAGAGTTTCCTTGTTAACACCTGTGGCTGCTATCTATCAATGTTCTTTCCATCTGGACCACCTGAGGCACCAGGTGTTGCAGAAGACTGTGTTTTGAAATAAAGCATATTAAATGTTTCCACACATTTTGGGAATTTATACTTTACAATTTTACAATGTAATTAACATATGTATTATACTTTTGTAAATATCATTATGTAAGTGAAAAAAAAAAGTTGAATAACCATCCATATATCTAACCACTAAAATTTTTAACTTTTTTTTGCTTCATATATGTGTATTCATAGCTACACATCTGGATTTCTCAACTTCAGTCCTATTGAAATTTTGGGCTGGAAAATGTATTATTGTGAGGACTTGACCTGTATGTAGTAGATTGCTAAGTTATATCCCAAGCCTCTAACTATTAGATACCAGGAATTTCCTTCTCCAAGTTGTGCAATCCAAAATGTCGCAAACATTGACAAGTGTTCTTTGGGAACAAAATATTCTCCAAATGATAAATAGCAAGTTCACTTCCTTTCCCTCTCACTCTATCTCTGTGTTCATATATGTATTCTTTATCTGTAGGTGGTGGATTTTCTTCCAAATATCTAAATTGGGAAATTTGGATTTATCTTACTTATTTAGTACACTGCCTTTGTATACTGAAAATCTACCAGATGATACTACATGAAAGCTACTGACTCTGCTGATATCTCTCTCCAGAATAGGGATCCTGGTAGACCCAGATGGACACACACAATCTAACGATGCTGAGTGAATTTATTCTGATGGGAATAACAGACCTTCCTGAGCTGCAGGCTCCATTGTTTGGGCTGTTCCTCATCATCTACATCATCTCAGTGGTGGGCAACTTGGGCATGATTATCCTCACCAAGATGGACTCCAGGCTACAAACGCCCATGTACTTTTTTCTCAGGCATCTGGCTATCACTGATCTTGGTTACTCAACAACTGTGGGACCCAAAATGTTGGTAAATTTTGTTGTGGATGAAAATACAATCTCCTATTATTTTTGTGCTATACAGCTAGCTTTCTTTCTTTGGTTCATTGTTAGTGAAATTTTCATACTGTCAGCAATGTCCTATGACCGCTATGTGGCCATCTGTAACCCCCTACTCTACACGGTCATCATGTCACAAAGGGTGTGCCAGGCATTGGTGGCAATCCCATATCTCTATAGCACATTTGTTTCTCTTCTTGTTACCACAAAAATTTTCAACTTATCTTTCTGTGGCTATAACGTCATGAGTCACTTCTACTGTGACAGTCTTCCCTTGTTATCTTTGCTCTGCTCGAACACACATGAAATTGAATTAATCATTCTTATCTTAGCAGCTTTTGATTTAATTTCATCCCTTCTAATAGTTCTTGTTTCTTACCTGCTCATTCTTATAACCATTCTCAGGATGAACTCTGCAGAAGGCAGGCGTAAGGCTTTCTCCACCTGTGGATCCCACCTGACAGTGGTGGTAGTGTTTTATGGGACTCTAATCTTTATGTATGTGCAGCCAAAGTCCAGTCATTCTTTTAACACTGATAAAGTGGCTTCCATATTTTACACACTGGTTATCCCCATGTTGAATCCCTTGATCTACAGCTTGAGGAACCAAAATGTAAAATATGCCCTAAATAGGACATGGAAAAAAATATGTAATATATTTTTTTTAATTTGAAATATAAAATGGTTCCTACAAATTACCTCATGGGCTTTAAAGTTTGTTCTGCCTCCATGGGGAGTAGCAAGCACAAATATATTCAACATATATTTATAAATTGCCTTCTAAGTGCCAGTCTTTTAATTGCTGTAAATGCATTCTGAACAAAAGAATAACAACTTTTGCCTTCCTTAATGAGGAGAGATACATCACAAACATAATAATTAAGTACATTTTATGGAATAGTAGAATGTGTTGGGGACCATAAAATCACGCAAGGAAAGCATACATTCTGAATTGGAATGGAGCAAAGTCCTACATAAAAAAAAAAAAAAGAAAGAAGTTACAATGATTCTGGTGTTTATTTAGTTTTGTTTTGTTTTTCCAACTATTAGAATAAACTTTGCACTGTCAACATGTGTGTGTTTGTTTGTGTAAACTCTTACCTTTTGTTTTTAGCTTTCACAGTCTTCTGAGAGGTGTACTATATTTGGGCCAGGTTGCAAGGAATCTCTGTGTAGTGTGACAATTTGAAGTACATAATTTTTTAAATTTGCTCAAAGGTCCCTATTCCAGACCTTGGAGCTCCAGTTTTTTCTCATAATACCTTTGCTATTGAAACCGAGTGGAGTCAAAGTTCAACCTGCATCCCTGGTTGGAGACAAATAAGTAAATATAATAACTCAGTTCCTTAAGAGCTGAATGGGATGAAAGTTCAACTATTCCCCCACCATTGTTAAGACAGATAGTACCCCAGTTGGAGACAAATAAGCAAACATAATAACTCAGTTCCTTAAGAACTGAATAGAACAAAAAGTCAATTTACATATTCTTTGCATGTTATTTCCCCTAAAAATAGGAGATAAGCACTTTAATGTATCTCACCAGACAGCTTGAAAACTAACCTTGGCCTGTGGACATGCACAGTGAGACAAACAGGAACAAAGTTGCTGGAACTGACATTCTCCCCTCTGCCTAAGCCATGATCTGGATTTTATTGAAGCTACAAGAATTGAAATTATTTTCTTGGATCATGATCATGAAGTAAAATCCCCCATGTAGCCAATGAAATTTGAATAAAAAAAGTTCATTGGAATATAAAAAATAAAAGTACTCATTATATTGTCATGTGAGGACAAATATATTTAAAGCATTGAAGCTGTTAGAAGTTAAAGATGCTCATGAGAACTACTAGGTAATAACATCTCACATTTATTGAATGATATGTCATAGTCAGGAGATCTGGTGGCATAGTGCCTATGGCATTTGACCGCCAACCTGAAGGCTGGTGGTTCAAACCCAGCAGTCACTCTTTAGAAAGAAGATTGGGGCAATGTATTTGATAGTAGTAGTGATACCACCTCACAAACCCAAGGAGGGGTCACTACGAGTCAGATCTGAGGTTTTTTATGTCATAGTCATTCTATAGAACTTAATTTAACCATCACAATAGCTCTATGAGGAAGGTTCTATTAACATTTACATTTTTCAGAAGATAAAATAGAGGTTTAGAGAGGGTAAATGAATTTCCCAAGTTCAACTCATGATGGATAAATAAGTTATTCAAGTTCACAGAGGTCTTAAACATTAGAACCAAGTACCAAATGTCCAGGGTCTAGTTCCAGTTTCCATGTTTATAATACTCATCAACCACAGGGATCCAGGTGAGGAGAGGGAACTCAGGTACACCCAAAGCAGCAGTGTGGGAGAGTGGGAGAAAGGGGATTAAAAGCCAGGAACCCTGACAAAGGAGCAGTCAGCCGCAGGGATCCAGGTGAAGAGAGGGAAATCAGGCACACTCAAAGCAGCAGTACAGTAGAGTGGGAGAAAGGGAATT